TCTCTCTCTCTCTCTCTCCCTCTCATCAAGGGCTGCTGTGGTCATTTTGGTCCTACAAGGGCAAAGCCTGTTGGAAAAGAAAGCCATAACATGGAGGAGAACACAGCTAAAAGAGACAGGGAGAAACAGAGTCCTGGTGATAGAAACAGCCCTCATGAATCCAGCCATATTTGAAAAGAAAACTACTACTTGTCAGTTTGTATTGAGTTTTCTGCTGTTTGCAACAAAACCATCTTAACCTAATATTTATGTGTACTTAGTACATTGCTTGACATGTGAAACTAGTCAATAAATGCATTTAATAGAAAAATGGGTAAGTTTCTGGGAGAGACAGCAATTATTTATTTCTATAGGGAAATTTATCTACAGCCTTAAAAGATCAGTCTTCTGGATGATGGTGGTGACGGTGTACAAGATGTAGTCAATGCCACTGAAATGTACACTAAAAATGATTAACATGGTAGTTGTTATGTATATTTTATCACAATAAAAATGAAAGAAAAAATATCCTTAGACCTGAAACAAAGGGTTATCACCTGTGGTGGTACACTCAAGATGACTGACTCAGGGGACCAAGGCAGTAGGATCAAAAGTTCAAAGCCAGCCTGGGCAATTTAGGGAGACCAGGTTTCAAAATAAAGTAAAAAAAATAAAAGGGATGGAGGTGCAGATTAGCACACCCTGGGTTTCATCCCTAGTACTGAAAAAAAATTGTTTATAGTCCAGATAGCACATGAAAAGATAGGCAGGAGAGCCTGCTGCACAGCACCAGTAGACATGTATTACTGCCACCTTGGAGGTGTGTCTCAGGGAAATAATTAGATAGGTATACAAAGTATGGCCATATGCGCACCACTTATAATATCAATATAGGTTAGTCAATAAAAGTATGATACTGTAAAATAAGGGAATGCCATTAAAGTAGATTTATAACCACATGATCACAAATGTTAGAATTATGTTATCAAATAGTTTCACAAAAATAGGGAAGACTTTTTTTCTTGCTGCTGGTGACTATACCCAGGGCCTTGCTCTATCACTGAGCTATATCCTCACCCCCAGGACTTTTTATAAACATTATAAATTGGAGACAATAGGCCAGGTATGGTGGTGCATACCTGTAATCCCAGCACTTGGGAGACTGAGGCAGGAGGATTGCCGTGAGTTCAAGGCCAGCCTGAACTACATAGCAAGACCCTGTCTCAAAAAAGGAAGAAAAAAAGAAAGAAAGAAAGAAAGAAAATTACACCTACTGAAAAGGAACTAGTGAGAGGCTTTGAGGAGGTGTATGTGGTCACAAAAAAGTGCCCTAAACATCAATTTTGTAAGTAAAAGAAGCAAACAATTCTCTCTACTGATTCAGATACTATATAATTTGATAGCTGTATTAGTTAATTTCCACATGTGAATTTTCTTTCTTTGTTTTTTCTGAAGTAGAATTCTTTGCTTCCCCTCCCCTGTTTTAAAAAGATATCACACAGTTAAAGAGAATTTTTTTTAAAAAAGGTGTAGGAAGTTAATACTCAAGGTTAATACTTGGTTAATACTCAAGGAGAAGAGTCAAAATGTCTGCATTTGCCATGTAAACAAAATATAAGGCACTCAGGACTCTCCTAAAAAATGTACTTTGCCTCTTCCTATCTTGCTCAAAGAGTTCAGAAAGTGTTATTCTGCTATATAAAACTCAACCACTTGTATCTAAGCAGTCTCAGTCTCACAAGTTAAGAATCTGACCAGCTGTCAATGGAGAAAGAGGCTAAAAAATGTCGAGCATTCTCTGTCTCTAACCACACACACACACACACACACACACACGCACACACACGCACACACACACAGTCTTTCTCACACACACTCACACACTCTCTTACACACACTCTCACACACACTCACACACTCTCTTACACACACTCTCACACACACTCACACACTCTTTCACACACACTCACACACACTCTCACACACACTCACACACACACTCTCGCTCTCTCGCTCTCTCTCACACACACACACACACCCTCAGAAGACAAAATGTTCTTCATTACTGTGATTCACAGTAAGTTCAAGTCAGGTGCAGGTCTATCGCCCACGGCAACTGCTACATCCAAAACACCAGAAAATCTTCCCTGCGCCTATAACCCCAGCACTCTGGGAGGATGCGGCGGGAGGATGAGGTGGGATGATTGAAAGTTCAAGTCCAACCTGGGCAATTTAGTGACTTAGCAAGATCCTGTCTCAAAATAAAAAACAAAAGGGCTTGGGAGGTAACTGAGTACAAAGGCCCCAGTTCAATCCCCAGTATTGCTAAAAACAAAACACAAAAGAAACAAACACACAGAGCCCTTCAATTTGATATAATTACCTCAGATAGAGGGACTTAGAAAAAAACA